TAAAATTAAACTTAAGTAAGAAACATTATATTAAACAAAACAAAGCTAAACTAGATTATAATGAACTAAAGTAATCTAACATACATCATATTAAACAAAACGAACAAAACCTAACTAAAGTTTCATTATATTAAACTAATCTAATATACTTTAGTAAAACTAAACAAAATTAAACCACATTATATCAAAATAAACTAAACTAAACTAACATACTTACAAAAAAGTAAACTAAACTAAACTAACATACTTACAAAAAAGTAAACTAAACTAAACTAACATACTTACAAAAAAAAAAGTAAACTAAACTAAACTAAAACACATTATATTAGAATAAACTTAAATAAACTAAGTTATGTTAAACAAAACCAAACCAAACTAACATACATACATTATATTAGGGTTTGTAATGTGACTAACCTTTAGATCTGCACTTCTTTTTGACAATTAAACCATCTAATTGTACAATCATACAAAATATTAAAAATAAATAAATAAATAATGGTTTATTATTAAACAAAAAAAAAGTGGGGGAAAGGACAACTTACCAGAAAGAGATGAAAACTGCCTTCCTAATCTGCTTCAGCCACGGCGAGGGAAGGGAGGAGGCTGGAGGCCGGAGGCCGGAGGCTGCGGTTGTGGTGGTCAGGGCTAAAAGTCAGATTTGAATGTAATTATAAAAAATACAAAAACAAAAAAAAATAGTTGTAAACTGACCTAGACGCGGCGCCGGCAACAACCAGCAGCATCAACGGAGGCTCGACGGAAAACAAGGCGCCCCTTCAACCGTCGTTGTCTTTCTCTTTCACCTTCTCGTCCTCTTTCTCTTTCTCCTTCCCGTCCTCTTTCTCTCTTACATTGTCGGCGGCGTTTGGGTCTTCGTCAGCGGCGGATGCGTGACGGACGGCGGCGGATGCGTGATAGACGGCGGCGGTGTGTGGTCCCCTTTTTCTCTTTCCCTCTCTCTTTCTCTTTCATCTATGCGTTTCAACGTTCTTTCCCCTTCTTTTTTTAGGTTAAATGAATTTGGGTATTTTTTTAAAAAATAACCTGTTATTTTCCGACGGAAATAATTTCTGTCGTAATTCCATATTCCGACGGAAATTTCCGTCGCAAAACTATTTTCGATGAAATATTCCGTCGAAAAAAGGAAATCACAATGGAAAATATTTCCGTCGGAATAATTACGACGGAAAATTAGTCGGAACAAGTGAAATTCGTCGATAAATTGCGACGAAATATATTCCGTCGAAATTTTTGAATTTTGCGACGGAAAATAATGTCCGTCGGAACTGATCCGTCGCTATTTAGCCTATTTCTAGTAGTGATATGCCTGAGGAAAGTCGACAGATGAGTTTGGTAGCTTTCTATGCTTGAAGAAATCTACCGGATGATACTTTCCATGCTTGAAAAAAGTCGACATATGAATTTGGCGGTTTTCTATGCTTGAAGAAATCCATCGGATAATACTTTCCATGCTTGAGGAAAGTCGATAGATGATTTTGGCAGGTTCTATGCTTACAGAAATTCACCGAATGACACTTTCCATGCTTGAGGAAAGATTTGTCTGATGATGAGATTACAAGTCTCTATGTATCGAGAACCTTGCGCCATGAAATGATGGTGGTTCTCTTGTCCCCGAACGTGGGCTGTAAATGGTTCTCTTGTCCCCGAACGTGGGATGTAAATGGTTTGTTTGTCCCCGAACGTGGGTTGTAGATGGTTTGCTTGTCCCCGAACGTGGGTTGTAGATAGTCCGCTTGTCCCCGGACGTGGGCTGTAGATGGTTTGCTTGTCTCCGAACGTGAGCTATAAATGGTCCGCTTGTCCCCGGACGTGGGTTGTAGATGGTCTGCTTGTCCCCGGACGTGGGCTGTATTTGAGACCTACAAATTAAAATTTGTCAAGGGACTCATATAGACTATGATTGACTTGACCAACTGACTTGACCAAGCTTGACTTGACATGACATGACATGTGTATAACTTGTGGTTGTGTGTGTATATGGTGTGTGTGTGCAAACACAAGCAACCAAAAATGCAAGAGCAAAAAATTTTCGTCATTTTGTCATGAGATGAGTGGAGGGTTTCGACTTTCTCCCGAAAAAGAAAGACGTGAAAGCTGAAATTTTATTTTCGAACTTCCCTTGATGAGAATATTTTGAAAAAGTTTTTGAACTTACTCAAAAGAAAAGAAATGAAAAAGGGGAAGAAGTTTTTAACTTCCTCGTTGAGCAAGACGAAATGAATAGCAGGGATTAAATTGCTTTTCTTGAAGATAATGTATGCATGATGCATGTTCTTAGGCTAGGAGGCTAAGGACAGTTACATCATGTGACACGAAGATGAATGAACTTAGGTAAGGAAGCTAAGCATCATATATGGTGTAAAGAAACGATCTTGAACGTCACTAAGGTTTGGAAGCTAAGCACGTATATAGATGAAGTGATTGATGAGTATTGCATAATGAATGTTGCTTAGGTGTAGAAGAGAGGAAGAGAGAAGGATTTGGTGATAAAGATTGTTGATGATTGAAAAGGGGAGATATGACCTCTATTTATAAGGGGAAAAAAGGGTCGAAGAATTAAGAAAAGATAAGAATTCGAATCGGAATAATACTCTTGACATAGACAATAGTTTTTGCGGTTTTTGTTTTTATCATATCTTTTGATCCAGAAATCGGAATAAGATAAATAAGATATCGTTGGAAATCACTTGAAGTACAATTTATAACCCAATTGTAATCTTCTTAAAATATTTTGAAGAATAAAAGATATGGCCGAAATAGTGAGACGGTGTCACTTTTGGATAGAGCTTCGTATTTCTTTTATATCTTTTTTGTTATAACTCGGAATTAATATTATAATATATCATTGGAAAGATAATTTCAAGGGCTATCCAACCACATAAAATTTGGATAAAAACTATGAGGAAAGAAAATAATATCTGACTATCTTTGAACGCCTTTCAATTTGAATAGAATTAGGACTTTCAAAATGAGGAGTTTTATTCAATTTTAAATTCTTTAATACTACCTCCGGTTCATTTTAGTTGCAACAATTTCCTTTTTGGGGTGGTTCATTTTACTTGCAACAATTTTTTTTTTCCTTTTTTGGTAAGTTTTTGGGTGTAAAATTACATATATGCCCTTACTTTTTTACTAAGCTATTTCATTAACACTCCTAATTTGTTTTACTTAGTTTGCTGATTTTGTTAATTAATTTAACTACTCCCACCAAATTTACCTCCTTCCCCTTTAAATTCCTTCATCTCCCAACCACCTTCATTGAATCTGCATTCAATACTGGAAAATGGTTGGGAGAATTAAATTCTGGAAAAATTTTCTAGAAATCAAACCCCCCTCTCAAACCCTAACCGTTTAAATCTCTCTCTCGTCCTTTCTTATTTCTCTCTCCTCTTCGCCTCCTCTATCTCCTCCAAAACCCCACATCTTTCTCCTTTCTCTCTCTTCATCTTCTGTATTCTCACACCGATTCACCCCATTTCACTCTTCAAATGTCTTCTTCTCAACCAAAAATAATTGATCTTGAAAGCCATGAGTCCCTTTCTTCTGGATCCACTCGATCTCCACCAAAACCAGAGCGAACCACGTACATACCTCGTCGTGGTTCTGGGGTAATGAAGCCGCTCCGTCGTGCTTTTGTAATTGCAAGGAGGAAGATTGTTGGTGCAAAGCTTGCTGAATACATTTCAAGCGACGAGGATGAGAAGCCCATTAAGGTTTCTGGGTCCAAAAGGCCGGTTCCGCCACCTCACTGCCCAGATCTAAAGGTAGTGTCCACCAAAGAAGGTGGATCTGCTGTTGTGGTGGCTGTTCCAACTGCTTCACCACCACCAGACGCCAAATCTGAAACGGGTTATTCTTTGTTCCAGGCGCTGACTGCCGGATAAGTTCTCCAGCCACCCTCTTCCCATCCCATGATGGGTGGGAGTGCTTATGGGTCTGGTGCTAGTAGTAAGCGCTTGAGGGGCTTACCTCCAGGGGAGCAGGAGCCAGATGACGTACTGGAGGCTTACCTCCAGATCTACTACCCCCAGTAGTCCCTTCCCCCATACTAATTGGGCAGCGTAATTTCTAAAACCCTAATCTTCTTCTTCAGTTCCAATTTATGCTTGATTATGCTATTCATGAGTCCCCTGTTCGTTGTTATGCCTAGTCTGATATTGTTGGTTGGTTAGGTTTGATTTGATGTGTTTCCTTTTATTATTGCATATGTTGTTTATGTATGAGTTGTTGGTTGTTTGGGTTTGTATTGTTGTTTTATAAACGAATTCTTGACTCCCCTGATATGTTTGGATATGTTGTTGGGGTATGAGTTGATAGTTGTTTGGATATGAATTGTTATGGATATAAATTGATGAGTCCCCTGTTATTTTTGGATTTGAGATGTTGGTTGTGTGCTTCTGTAACTGTGGTTGGATTATGAAATGGGTTGTTGGTGGAGTTGTGGAGTTGTGATTGTGTGTTGGTTGACTGGTAGGATGATTTTGTTCCTTGAGTCCCCTGTGTATGATGCATTGAGTCCCCTCCCCCAATAGATTGCATCAAATTGAATCCCATCCAAATGATGAAGGGACTCATCTCATAGCTACTTGAGTGTCATGGCTGCTCTAGTTACCTCTGATTGAGGTATCTATTGAGGTACCATAACTCATTGATGCCTTGAAAGAGAAATGTAACCCTATCTGATGGATTATTAGTGACCAAAATAGATTGAGTTTCCATTAATAACAAAAGGTTGTGATTTGTCTTAAACCAAAGTAAAGTAGCATACAAGACTGCCTAAGAATGTTTACACTAAGTATGTACCAAAATACACCTAACCAATACCAACAAAAACTACTAAAACCATGTTCAGATTGTATTGGTTATGTGTGGCAGTCTTTGGCTCAGATGGTTTGATTGTGCTTCCTTATAGTCTTCAATCAACATCTATTTCCATTTGAAATTCAGTTGCATTTGTACTTGGAATTTTGATTGAATCAATAGGAAACAACCTCTGCAATTAATTCCTTGTCTACTTGAAGCAATTCTGGTAGAACACCTTGCCTGTCTAGACTTCTTTTTTTCATGTGTGGTATTTTGTAGTTGTTTCCTCCTTTTCTTCTTAAGACCTCAACCATGCATGACTGAAGTGTAATCCAACTGTATTTGTTCAACTCTGGATCAAATCCTTTGAATGCTATTTCAACTTCTTTGATGAGATCATCTAAATTTTGAGGAAATGACTGATACTGCAGTGATTGAATGACATTGAAAAGTCCTAAGTCTAGAACATTCATGTCTGGTGATTGTGCTGGTTGAAAAACAAATTGTATGTTGAATCCATATGCTTGACATGCTTCTTGAAATTCTGCATCTTGTGGTATTTGGTGAGGCCTAGCATTATACCATTGAATAGTTATGTCTTTGGGAAGTTGGGGTGGCCATTGTTCATGTATTGTTGGCAACACATGATTAAGTAGCATGTCCCTTATTGCTTCCTTGTTAATACTATGGACTGCCTTAGCCTCAATGGTTACCTTGTCTCTGTTTTTACTCTTTTTCTTTGCTTCCTCATACTTCACAAAAGGGAAAAGACCATACTTCCCATCATGTAATAATTGTTTGTTTGCATCATACAATGGTTTCCCAATCATGCCCATAAACATACCCTTTATCTTGAACCTTTTGGACTGTTGGGCTCTGTATGGATTGTCTTCAGCTGGGAAGAGGTAGAATGTCCTTGTTTCTGGGTTTATAAAAAAACCACTTTTCATCAATGTGTATCCATTGTTACATGTCTTCAAATGAAGGGTCCCCTTCTGCTGGAATGGGGTAATGTGACTTAGAACCCATTTCAGTCTTGCTATTTTATGCTGGTTAGTGAGTGTTTGTGCTTGTGTGTGTTCTCAATCTACCCCTTTTCCTTAATCTGTGAATAGCTGACTTAGACACATGAAGTGCTGCAGCATATCCTCTTTCAGTTTGTCTTTTGTACAAAGGCACTGATGTTAAGAATTCATCACTGTACTCCTTTTGTTTTCTGCCCACAGTGCCTATTTTTTTGGTCCTTACATCTACAGCATTGCCTTCTAACATGTGTTGCTTAATTACCTTAAACCATCTTGTTGTTGTTGATCTATGCACATGATGCTTTCTTGCCAAACTGGATAAAAATCCTCTTGGCAATGAGTCCCCCTCCATATTGAGCATGATCTAATCAACTAGTTGGCGCTTTTCTTCTACTGTCATTTCTCTACTTTGTCTGTCATACATATGTAGTGGACCATGTAGTTCACCATCATCATCTCCATCATAACCAGCTTCTTCTTCTGAGTTGCTGTCTTTTTCTTGAGTTTCTTCATCTATGAAATGATGCCATGCTTCCATTGTCTGCTCCTCATTGTACACTTGATTTTCATTAAAAAAAGAGTTCTTCCAAGAACTCTGCCATGAGTCCCTATCCTTTTTTTTCAGGCTGACTGTAGGTGATGAAGTGGTGGCTGGAATTTTTTGGATGGTCTTCAACAGAGCCTAGAAGAATTGAACATGGATGCTGCTTTTGTCTTTTTAGCACTATAAATTTAGGCTAATTATGAACTAATTTTAGGCTTATGTAATTTGTAGGATGGTGTTTTGTAAACAATTAACTACTCACCCTTAACCCCCCCAACCCCTCCCTGCTGTCTCTTTTAAATGAAAAACAAACTGAAATGTGGTTTGGAAAGTCCTCTTTTTATAAGGGAATATGATTTGAATGTTAACAAGTTTAGATTTTGGGGTATTTGGCAAATTTTTTGAATTTGCCTTGAAATTTTGGGAGGGAATTTCGTGAGTAATCAAAAAAAAAAGGGGGACTCCCTCCTCAATTTGGATGAAAAAAGGGAGGGAATCCCCACCCATGTGCAAAGTCAGGGAAATTTGGGTGGGAAAAGTCCACCTCACCATTTTTTCCCACTACTTTTACTTGATTAAAAAAAAGACCCCACATGGTTTCCCTCCTATTTTAGTCCCTTAATTACTTAATCTTCACATGCTTAAAGCCCCTTAAAAGTTTTGCCTAGGCTTGCGTAAAATGGTCCTTTGTTGCAACTAAAATGAACCGGAGGTAGTATTATCTTTTCATAAAGGATAATTAAGATCTTTTAGAAACTTATATAAGCTTCCAATTAATCCTAATTGGTTTAGGAATGAGATAAAATTCTTTGGACCCTCCACATAATCATTGGGTTGTAGGTAAGGTGAGCTTAGGTTCGGTTTGGGCTCAGCTTAGTATTTTGACCATAACTTATTCGTTATAACTCACTACAAAATTAAGTTAATATAGCATCAACTAAAATTTGTTGCTATTTACCAAAAATTTGTTGCCAACTCTATTTAGCAATGGGTTGGAAACGAAAATTTGTTGTTGTTAAAAGTCTTATTGCCATGGGATTTTGGCTACCAGTTGCAAAGCAATTTTGTTGCAATATTACATCCATTTAAATATAGTTTCCATGATGGCTTGAATTTGCATGTAAGGCTCTTTGAATCCCCAGCCTCAAGAATCACAGTTGGTAGGAGTCGAACTTGTGACCTCAAAGTCACATGGTGAATCTCTTACCAACTATACCAAGTACTATTTGTTTACTTCTTTGCATATAATTCATAATAAGCGAACGAAATATTAGAGACGAAACTGAAAATTTTGTCTCTAAATTAGGGACAAAATAAAAAATCAGTCTCTAAATTAGAGATGAAATTGAAATCCGTCTCTATTTGATGTCATTATAGCAACAAATAATAAGAAGAGTGTCTTCAAATACTTTTATACATAATAGCAAAAATGACCTACATATAAATTAACAACAAAATGTAACACAACTTGTTTTCAATGGCAACAAATAAAAAAATACATTATCATCTAGCAACAATTGTTTAGACGACTTGTTTCTAATGGCAATAATTCAAAAATTCATTGCCTTTGTTTGTTTCTAAATTAATACAAATAAAATATTGTTGTCATATTTTGTAACTATATGGCAACAAGAGAAAAATATGATGTCATCTAGTAACAACTTGTAAGAAAATTTGTTTTAAACAACCAAAAATAAAAAATATGTAGCCATTAATTATTAAAAAAATAAAGCATAAAATGTCGCTTTAAATTAGGCAATGAAAAAAACTATATTCGTTGCTATTTAGCAACGTTTTAAAAATATGTTGTCAAACTTAGTTGCTAAAAAGCTTTTATTTTTGTAGTGACTTGGATTTGGGCTTATAATATATCGTTGGAAAGCTCTTTTCAAGCCTCATCTAATTATTAAATCATTGGACCAAGATTATGGACCAAAATAAATTGGACTAAACGTTTTATAAAAGGACACGAAATGAATGATTTTAAGGACACGAATTTGGGTTTAAAGCCACGAAAAGAGGAAAATAAGTTATGGTTTGGAGAAATGGGCTAGGAATTGGGTAGGTTTATGAAATGAAAATATGAATTTAAGCACTCCAAGATTAAATACTCAACCTAACCAACAATGTCAGTGAAATGTTGTTTATCATCGAGTTTGGTTTTGGTGAGACATTTTTAGACGTCTACAGGTATGAGTATGGGTATGTGTGAGAATGTCGATGAACCGTGTCTTTGTGTCAAAATCTTTCCTAGAAATTTGTAGCCTCGTGACTACTAATCGCAGCTTAAATTCATAATTACTTGTATATAAACTCAACTCTTAAATTATCATTTCTCAGCCAACCCACACGAAGCTTCATGTACAGCTGTAAACAACCATTTGTGATTTGTTTATAAATCTATGGTATAAAATTTGCCAACAAAACAAATCGAAATATCATACTCACTGGTTAAACCCACACTTAGCTGTGATGATCCCCTTTTTTGTCCTTATATTATTTCCTCTTTCTATAAATAACAACTTTACTTTCATATAATTCTAAAACATCAACATTTCTAATATCAAACTTTCTAAATACTCTCTTTGAACAAACTCATAAAAATGGCTACCTCGAACCATACTCGATCAGCTAGCTACCCACCCCAATCGAACCCGATCCTTCTAAAGGTCGAGGACGAGTTAACCAAGCTAAGGAAAGCCGAGGTAGAATCAACCTCTGTAACCGAAACAATCTGTATTGGCTTAACAGGGTTAGCTAGATTGTACAGATGTGTTGATAATGTGCTTAGTTTACCACTTCTTGCGCATCGTACACTCTCCCTTTCGCTCGCTAAACACGAAACACCGTTGATAGAAGGATCATCGAGACTCCTTGAAATATGCGGTGCTTCGAAAGAGTTATTGTTGAGGTTATTAGAAGCTGTTCGATGCTCAAACAGCGAGATGAGTAGTGTATCAGAGTATTTTTGTTTGAGAAAAGAGATTGTGAAGGCTTCGAAAGGACTTGCCTTACAACTTAGGCAGGTCGAAGGGAGTCTAGTATCGAGAAATGAGGAGTTCAATGAGTCAGGTTATTTCGAGGTGATTCGAGTATTGAGATGTGTTAGTATTATAAGTATTTCAGTACTCGAGTCACTTCTACGATTCTTGTCGATGCCATTGATGTCAAAGTCGAAATCGATTTCGTTTGGTTTGATTTCGAGGTTGGTCGTTAAGAAGAGTAAAGCAGTAAAGTTGTTAAAAAATGGGAATGAGTTGAGCAATGTTGATGTTGTGTTACATACATTTGATGGAGAAGAGAGTTTTGATTGTGATATTGTTAACAAGAAATTAGAGGTTTTGGAGGTTTCTTTGAGAGGAATTGAAGATGGTTTAAACAATATTTTGAAGCAATTAGCTAGGACTAGAGCTTCTTTAATAAAAATAGTTTGTGTTTAATAGTTACATTTAGATTTTAGTATAGTCTTAGGTATTTTTTTTCATTATTTATTGGATGATATAGGTTCGTCTTAATTGTACAAACATATTAATTTTAGCTGATTTAACAAATGGAATTAATAATTAGATGGATTATATCATTATTTGAGTACTATTGTGTATTTACTATCTTCTTTAAATTGTCTCTAAAAGTCTTTTCCGAGTTTCAATTTGACTATTTTAATTTTGTGAAACAATTACTTTGGAATATTAGGCATAGTAATAAGTTGTCCCATTTCATCCTAGTCAATGTGCTAATTTATATCAATGAAATTAATGAGAATCGTTTTCAGTTGACTTCTTAAAAGAATTTATTTGCTTGAGAAAATAATACTTCTCCTTTATTTATTTAATAGATGAAGCCCGTGCGATGCACGGTTTATTTGGGTTTTTTTTATTATTTTTTTTTTTTTGTATTTATGAGCTAAAATTTGTTATATATTTAGATAAAATTCTTAATATTAAAAGATAATATTTAATATTTAATTAATTTAAACTTAAAAATCTCATTCGCCAATTTTGCTTACGTGGCATTTGAATTATTTAATTCTAAAAAAAAAAGTAGAAAACAAACATCTTTGAATAAGTTTGCACCTCTGTTTTAAGACAAGGTTATAGGTAAGGAACACAAACTAATCAAACTAGGTCAATCTTATCATGGTCACAACAAGTCTTAACAAATACATATATAAGAACTCTATGTCGTCTTGGCAAAAGTGCGCAAGCCCTAAACTGTACTGGATTTACCATGGATGGCAAACTACACCTAGAAGATCTGCTAGTCTACTACTAATAAGCAAGAAAACAAGCCATGAATATGGTATTTAAGTACATATATCAAATAAGGCAAAGAAACTAAAGTATGTAAAGAAAAATATGTAAAGAAAGCAATGCATGCTAGAGTAAGGTAAAGGAACTACAACACTTAAAATAGAGGGAAAGGCCAGGCTACAAGCAAATGTCGTTAAACTAAGTTCAACGCTTAATTGTTCAAGTATAACCAAAACGAAAGTGTTAACAAATGCGAAGTAATATGAAGATGAAGTGATAGTTGAATAACTAGTTAGTAATTTTGGAGTCTTCAAAATTAACCCAAGAAAAGAGCTAGTATCATGCTATTTTACACAAGCTTAAGGGGAATAATTTCTAGAAAAGTAGGGTTAAACATCATATTTGCACGGTATAGGAGGAATAGTAGCACAATTATGCTACAAGATCTAGAGCTTCAAACATTAAAAGAAATGTGGTTGATCCTCAATCATCCACGATCGTAAACTTGTCTTGCCAAGTCAGCTCCAGGTTTCCTCTCATAATGATGAACGGCCGGGC